AGTAATCGTTATTACGGAAGACAGTCCAAAATAATCTTTAAAATAACTGCTATTTATTTGCGAAACTCATCCAAGAATAAACTTTCATATCCAATTGTAGAACCTATCGTATTTTGACCACGGATTTAGGGAAATGGAAAATTTGTACTATAAAATGCTTTATTACTGGTGGCAAAATATTATTATTATTAATGAATTTAAATAACATCACCAAGAAGTAACACTCTCTATCAACAAACAAAAATCACGCTCTATAAGTCTCTTATCGTGCCTAACCTGTTGTGTGGTGCAGAAGTTTTCACAATGATTTAGAATATGAGAGGCCTTAAACATTCGAGACAGAATTCATCCGGACCCTATGGTCTCTATGTGTTTGACACGAGTATCGATTGATTGACGATGGCTGTGTAAGCCGAGTTGAAATATATGAAACCCATTAAAAATTTCAGTGTTGACGTTGAAATCAAATTTAATTCTTTCTAATTTATTTTCATAAATCGAAATCAGAGTTTAAATTAATATTGTCAAACTAGTGTGGGAAAATAAAGTACTTATGAGCAATGAGAATTATTTCCTTCGTATTTATTTTGAAAAACCGAATTATCGGTCAGCAAGAAATTGTAAACAAAATACAATATATTTTCTGTTTAAATCACATTAACGAGATTGGAATCATTTAAAACAGATTGTTTTCTTTTCATATAAGTTTCATATAAGTTCGCAATCTTTACAAATATCTTTAGTTTAATTAATTCTTCATTAAATACTGAAAATACGTACAAATAAAATCGTAAAAGGCTTCATAGGATAAAAAGGATAAAAGGAAGAAAATACATTTTTTTAATGCATTTTCGTTTAATATTTTCTAGTTTAATATTTTTAATATTTAATATTTTAATATTTTTTTTATATTTAAATATCTTTCCTTTATCAGAATTAACTTTTAAATTTAACATCTTATTCTAAATTAATGAAGAATATTTTGTTAAAGCTGTAATAAACAACAAATTAAGAGCTTAAAACAATTTTCAAACAATTTCATTTAGTTTTATTATTCATAATTTTAATTCAAAATTCAATAAGCACTTCTATATCTTAATCATAAAACTTTCCTATAATGAAATATCAATTATCCATCCTGGCAGTTTTCTTACAAGTACTTTAATAAGAACTCTAAGTAAGTTTTTAGGACGAAGGCACACGTGTGCTTATCTCTATTGACATTTTGCAAGTGCTTTCATAGTTTACCACTAAATGCAAATAGAATAGATGCCAGAAATTATTTTATTTATATTCGAACTATTGTTATAATCCGTAGAGTATATTTTGATATTGGCTTTTCAATGGCTTAGCTGGTCACTAAACATGTTTAAATATTTTCATAATTAATTGTGATTCACATACATAAGTTCTTGTCAATTTCTAGCATAAGATGTTCACCAGCATAGTTTTGCTCTTAACACTATTCTCCAAAGGATGTAGTTTATGATGGAAAATCATATTCATTGGTGTTTGTTGTACAATTTAATTTACATAACTTAATAACACAAAACAATTTAATTAGTTATGCCTTTAAATATTTATGAAATATTTTAACTAATTCATGTTTAAAACCATTAAGTACCACAACATTTTAAGATGCACAATATTAATGATTTCATCAATCCATTTGTTGGTTGGTTATCCCAAAGTATGGTAAAATATTCTATTGAAGACTTTTGTAAAGAGGTTCTTCGAACAGTAGGGAATTACAACAACAAAAATATTATAAAATTTTCATTTTACATTATTACTACAACAACAAAGATTTTTTTTTTTATATTATTTTAATTAATTGAATTTTCGACTGACCATTCAGCTGTTTCGAGTATTGCCAAATACCCATCATCATAATTCTTGTATTTAATTATTCGTAAATAATTTTTTGAGACTGCAAGTATCAGGATTCGAACTCGTACTCTGCCAAATTTAAAGCTTAGAGTCAGCGCACCTTAACCAACTGACTCAATGCCGTAATTGATTTTTATGTTCGCACATTTTTCTGGAGTTTTTTTAATTTGCTGTGAAAGTTTTATTAACAAATTCCCTTGCTATATTTATATTAGAACGAAATCATAAACCAGTTGTAGAATAATTGAATTAAATAATTATATTTTTTATTTTTAATTGTTAAAGTTCAAGCCTTATGTATTAAATTATTATATAGAAGTTTCGAACAGTAGTGAATTACAATATTAAAAATTTTTTAAAATTCAATTAATTAAAATTAAACAAATTTTTTTCTTGCAGTTTTCTTTGTTTGAAACCACTAAATTAAATACAATACGTTAAAATTCAATTATTATTTTAGTATTCGAAGTTTATATATTTAATATCTTAACAATATCAATAGTAATTTTTTTTATTATTTATTATTTTATACCCTTTAAATTTTTTTACTTTGATTCATATAATTTATATTTTTTGTGCCCCTCAATATAATTTAAACCATTTAAGAGGTCCGTCGATTTAAGAGTTGCTTTTTCAAAATAGTTTCTAAGCTCAAAGTAATATTTTGAATCATGATTTTTTACCATTCCCTTTTTTTTTACCAATTTTGTGGCATAATTTTCAATATATTTTTATTACTTACCGGTATCTTTGGGGGCGGCATGCAAGTAGTTGCCAGTGCATCTGGATTGCCATATATATTTAGTTTCTCTAAATTTCCCTATTAATAAAAAATTAAACATATAATAGAATTTACACTGAAATAAAAAGTTATTAAAACACCTTTTTATTGGAAAGTACATTTTATCTAGCGTTTAACAGTATTAAAAACATTGCGGCTATTAAAAACATTACGAGTTAAGCTAAACATGATGTAATAATTAGCACAGACGAAGACGTAAATATAATTAATTAATATAAAAAATTCACCTTTAATTAATTAAGTTAATACATAGTTTTTTTTAGAGTTAGAAAAATCTCAATTTATAAACTAAATATTTAACATTTAACAGTACCATAAATTCACAGTAGTCAAAAATATGGTTAAGCTTAATTACTTCAAAATTATATATTTTTAATCCTTCAAATTTTTTAATAAAAGAATTATAATATCTTCTTATATTTAATTTTTAATTTAGTAATCGTAATTGCATTAAACCTAATACAAAGCATATGCTTAAATTGTAGATTAAAAATTGATATTATTTATTACCATAATATTTAGGCATTTGTGAATTTAAATGTTTTTATTTCAAATACTCAAATTACCAATTGCGCAAAAGAATAAATGTACCTCATAAAAATAAATTTACGACTGGAAAAATTATATTAGCAATGGCTACAAAGGAAATAAATGACAACACCTACACGGTAAGTCCACGGAAATGATGTAAGATTCAATGGTGTTAAGTGTTGGGGGGAAGAAGACAAATATGCGGAGAAATAATAATAAAAAAAAGGTATATAAAATTAAAGAAGTGACTTCTGATGTGGTTAAAGTTAATAAAAAGCGACCAATATTGAAATTCAATCATTTAGAAAAGATATTGCTATCCACAACGACTTAGATAAGCGACCTACAAATACAAATTATATCAAGCGTTATAAAAACCTACAAGTAGATACATATAATCATAATTTTACTTGTGCTTGAACGCGATTATTAGATACAATAAAGTATTTATCATT